CTCTTTAAATTCTCTACAAATCCTCTTCAAATTCTCTACAAATTGTCTACAAATCCTCTTCAAATTCTCTTCAAATTCTCTACAAATCCTCTTCAAATTCTCTTTAAATACTCTACAAATCCTCTTCAAATTCTCTACAAATCCTCTTCAAATCCTCTTCAAATTCTCTTTAAATACTCTACAAATCCTCGTCAAATTCTCTTTGAATACTTTACAAATCCTCTTCAAATTCTCTACAAATCCTTTTCAAATCCTCTTCAAATTCTCTTTAAATACTCTACAAATCCTCTTCAAATTCTCTACAAATCCTCTTCAAATCCTCTTCAAATTCTCTTTAAATACTCTACAAATCCTCGTCAAATTCTCTTTGAATACTCTACAAATCCTCTTCAAATTCTCTACAAATCCTTTTCAAATCCTCTTCAAATTCTCTTTAAATACTTTACAAATCCTCTTCAAATTCTCTACAAATCCTCTCAAAATACTCTACCAAGTCTCTATAAATCGTCTACAAATTCTCTTTAAATCTTCTCATGAATCTTCTACATACTCTATACGAATCCTCTACAAATCCCATACAAATTTTCTTTGAATCCTCTAAAAACTCTATACAAATCCTCTATGAATCCCCTACAAATTCTCTTTAAATCCTCTATACAACTTCTCTTTAAAGCCTCTTGCATATTCTCCATAAATCTATCAATAGGTAGTTTTAAAATCCTTTAATTCAAGGCTTCAAAGACGTTTTTGTAGTAAAATTAACCTATTATTGCTTCTCTTTTTGTCATGCTTTTGAAGTCGCAAGGAATTTTAAGAATTTTATTGAAAAAAAAAACAATAAAAAAATGAACAATATTTGATTAATACAGTTATCTAAATTTTATTAAACAAATATTTTGGCTTCGTCAACTATGGGTGTTGGGACATTTCATAGAAACTAGAGACATTTCATAGACAGGGCATTTTTTAGCGGACATTTCATAGACAGGGCATTTTTTAGCGGACATTTCATAGACAGGGCATTATTTAGCGGACATTTCATAGTTAAGACATTTTAGAAACAGAATATTTTTCATGGATAAAATCATTTTTTCTTTTCTTTCAAGTAATCTTATCTAATCACCTTTTTTACTAACCCCAAACCTTAAATTATCTTTAAAAAAGTGTTTTTCTGTCTATGAATTCTTATCCATGCAAATTCTTCTCCGTCTAAGACATTACCTGTCTTAGAAAAATCTACTCTGTCTATGAAAATTCCTATTCCTGAATTTCTGTGAAATGTCCCTTCTATGATTTTATTATCTATGAAAACCCCAACACCCTTTTTTGTTGATGAGCCGAATTCTTCTCCAGGTTTCAGGTTTCACGCTGAATCTAAACAAGTTCAAATATATATTTTCTTTATTATTTTTTAGTTTAAAGGGAGTGTTCGCGAAAAATGAAAGGGGGTATAGGCTTAATGCGATAAAAAAGCGCTTTTGATCGCCAATAATCTTACTTCTATCTGTTGCGTCTATAAAGAGAAAATTGTTAAAGACGTCTCATACCGAATAACATGGCGTCTATACAAATTGAGAAAATTGCAACATACGATTTACACCGTAAAAAATCTACGTCTTTATCAATTTTCTCCTTATAGACGCAACAGATAGAAGTAAGATTAGTAGCGATCAAAAGCGCTTTTTTATCGCATTAAGCCTATACCCCCTTTCATTTTTCGCGAACACTCCCTTTAAGTACGCCCAATTGTCCTAACACTCCGTTATGTATATATTCCCCTCTACAAAGATGAAAGGCCCGATTCACAGCTTTTTCTAATCAATTGTGAATTAGTTCTTAATATTTAAAAGTTTAAAAACTGGTTATTTACAATTGTGATTTTTTCTTTTTCTGATTCACATCACGTATTAGCTTCAAAAATATCTTTTGTTAGAATATTTCAAATTATTAAACTTTTACATAATAATATTAATAATTTAATGAGCCAAAAATGTTTTATATTTATTAAATATTTATTTTTATGATTAATTACACAAACTTGTAGAGAATAAATGTCTAGATAAGGACAGGGGGGGGGGAATTATTAACGAATGTTATTTTTTATTACTCAAAGGGAAAGTGACCGTACATGACCTTGTAATGAAAAAAATATGTTAGTTAAAAAATTAGATTCGAGCTTTGAATATAAAGTACAACGTCAATCGGTGGCAACAGAGAAATGGATTATACATGACGTCACAAGTGTCAAATATAACAAGGAAAACGAAGGTTTCCCAAATTGTTAACATTACATAACATTAAATATAGTTAAATTTCAATATTATCAAAAATATAACATTTGTATAAATCCCCCTTTATTAGAACAAATATTTTGATTCAATATTACTAAACCTTTCAAACCATTGATGTCACGAACTCGAAATATGATTTTGCTAGATCCGATGAACTTAGTTCCTTTGTTAGTTCCTTCATGGGTTCATATCCTGCAGGCCTGAGAAAAATGAAAAAGTCTTCAGAATTTGAATAAATGTATTTTAAGTGACATATTCATAGACCTATCTTAATATCCCCAGTAAAAAAACTTTTAAAATGAAGGTTTAGGTTGAATGCCAAGGAAATCCACTAAGAGCGAACAAGAAAATATCCAATGCACCCTGCTATATACGAATTCGAATACGAATTCGAGTAATATCTTAATGATTTGTTTAAAATTAAATTGATTCTTTCACGATATTGCTACTATCTGAATTTGTATTGATGCTACGATCTTCAGTATAAGTCGTTTTTAACAATTTTCTTCTTATGGACGCGACAGATAGAAGTAAGATTAGTAGGGATCAAAAGCGATTATTTTTCGCCGTATCCTATACCTCCTTTCATTTTTCGTGAACACTCCCTTTAAGTGAATAGCATCCAATGCTTAATTTAAAATGCAATTAACATTTTAAAAATATTTTGCACTCTGCTATTCTTAGAAGCCATTACGAAGAAGAATTACACAAATGGTATGATATATATTTATTGTTTAAATAAAGTGTTTTTTCAACGTTCCGTTAAAAAATTATAAAATATTAATAAATTCTCACGACAGCTGAAAATTTACACCAATTTGTTATTTTTTCTTGCATTTAGCAGCCAATCAAAAGCAAAAACAACAAGGCTGTAACACAGGGTGAGAGGGCAACCGGACAGTGGCCCCCCCCCCTCAAATTCCAGCTTTTAGAAACCGTAAAATTTTAGGTAAAAGTAAGTAAGAATCATAATGATGAAACAATGTAAAATATAAAAGATCCTCCAAATCAAGCTAAACAGACTAGTTTTAGTCACAAAATTATCATTTTGCTGTGAAGGGGGCTCTGCCCCCACCCCTCCCCTAAAGAAACACCCAGCCCTGGAACCCTATACACAATACACCCGGGTTCGGGTTTCTTTGAAACATTTGCAAATTTACAACAATATTTAACAAAATGAAATAGTTCAACTTGTAGCTGAGTCCTGGATCCTGATGTCCAATGTCATCAGCTATAAGCGGTTTAAAATGAGTGCACCTACTCCCCACTAAACTCTATAGCTCTTCGGTCAGAGTACTGCAGATTACTATAGAGTACACCAAAAGCTTTGTTGAGGGTGGTCCATTGCCAGCCATGGTACAGGGTGTCCCAAAAAACATGGGAATTCAGTGACGAATTCGATATCGTCTTTGTAATGAATTAGCATTGTAATACCTAATTTCAAAAATCATATTATTATTATGTCTGCTAATGTTTATTTTATGAAAGCGATAAATGGCTGTAAAGATGTGTATAATGTCTCCTCAAGATGAACAGTGAAGACGGACAAGTTTACTCTGCTTTTATACTGTAGTTCAGCTGAGAATGCAGTATTGTAGAGAATTTTTTTAAAGATTCATTTGAGCCATCACGAATACAAATTAGACAAATACAGGGTGTTTCAAAAAACGAGGAATAAGGGTCGTTTGTAATCGGATTTTCAAGATTGAGACCATTTTTAAAATTGCCGTACAATTTCCGATTCAATGAGCCCAATTTTAGGCATGTTATAGATCTGAAAATTATATTTTAAAAGCTTCTAAAGTTTCCAACTGGAGTGAGTAAATTTGGTAACAATCAAAATAATCTCCGTTTGCTCACAAGGGTCTGTGCAGACTTGTTTGTAATCGGATTTTAACGATTGAGACCATTTTTGATATCTACGTACAATCTCAGAGTCAATGAGCCCAACTTTTGGCTTTTAGATCTAAAAATAGCAATTGTACTGTAGTAAACTGTAACCTAACATTGAATATAAAATTGCAAACGGAGATTATCTTTGACTTTTTACTTCGCTCCAGTTGGCAACTTAAAATTGCTATTTTTAGATCTAGCCTAAAATTTGGCTTCTTTAAATCGAAAATTGTACGGCGATTAAAAAATGGTCTCAATCTTGAAAATCCGATTACAAACGAGCCTGCGGAACCTTATTCCTCGTTTTTTTAGAATTTCAAATTTAGATTGCAAAACAAAAATTCCGTTGGTAAAATATCAATTCCCACTTTAACGGCGAAGAAAAATCTGCCAAATTTGTTTTATAGAAAATAAAAGTTGTTCATGAACAAGACAATTTACCTTTGTCCTATCCGAAGTAAACACTCAGAGATGGGGAGAGGGTCAACCGGTCAGTTGCCCCCCCCCCTTAAACTATCATCAGATTTAAGAGAAAAGGAATATCTCCGTCATTTTTACTCAGAAATTGTTTGGTTTTGTTTTATAAATCTAGCTTTAAATGCTGACCCTGCCCCTTTCTATATATTCATAGAACTTTAAGTTGTCTATTCAAATAAAACATTTCTCAGAAATAAATAAATTTATTTGAAGTGGTCTTGAAAAAAATGGAAAAACTTGACAAATATTTCTACTCAGCGAGTTCATTGAATTCTATTTCTCGTGTTTTATATTCATCATTTATATTTGTTTAAAGCAAAATTACATCGAACAAATTTAAAGTTTACAATTTCCTACATATACTCTATTCTCTGGATATTGCAATTTATGATTGAAAGGGGTTGCTAAAAAAGGTGCCATACATGATACAAGACTTTTAGCTTGAGATAGTTTTATAGTTATTCAGCGATGGTTTTCAGAAATGGAGTCTCTATAGGTCCCAGTCTAGTGGTTTTCGTTTTCTACAAATGTGGTATGATAACAGCATGCACTGCAAGGTTTGATAGATTTTCGCACAATGCTTTGAAACTAATTCATTGGTTTTGCAGAACAATTATGCAGTTTATTTAGATTTGCTTTGTTTGATGACAAGATGTCCTCTTGAGCCGATATCAAAAGGGTGACCTGACACATTTCCTAGATGTTATATCTGTGAGAGAATTCTCATACTTGTTCATATTTTGAGTGTTGGCATTTTGGATATTCGTTTCCAGTGGGACAGTCAGCTCAAAAGTATTTTTAAGTTTAACAGTTTCTCTATTTCTTGACAATCACATGTAGTTAAGTTAGTAAACGATCATGCATGACAAGAAAAAAAGAGAAACGAACGACCATCTTCAAGCCCTCGTTAACCAACTTAGTGGGGTGGGGCTCAGAGGCGTATTCAGGGGGGGCTATGGGGACTAAGCCCTCCCCCTGGACCAGTGAAATCTATTGATTTCAGGGGGTTTTCAGTACTGAAATATAAAGTAGAAAGCGAAATTGATATATACATAAATGTATAATTGGGGAATTATTAACTGAAAAAAAATGTTCATACAAATTTTTACAACAAACCTATGCCATATGATAACTCATAATACTATTGTTACCATGAAATCAGCCTAGTATAGTATGTAAAATCAGAATGGGGTTTCTACATGAAATGTAAGGCCTACCCACACTTCATGAACAGAGCGTGATAAGCCCATAAAAAGTGGCTTGACTGGGTTTCTGCATGGAAAGTTACTGGGACAGTTAAGGACAAATCCCTGGCTACCCCTCCTAGAACTCAGGGAGTAAGAACAAGTTAGTTGCGTACCAGTTCTCGCAAGGAGAGGATGAAGTGGTAGGATGGACAATCTGAAAAACAGTCGGTTGGATGGGATCTGTCGGAACAACAATATGTTGCTAGAGGAGATATGTTGCCGGAAGAGATAGGTTGCTGGAGGAGATAAGTAGCAGGAAGATGTTTCTGGAGGAGATATGTTGCCGGAGGAGTTACGTTGCATGCAGGAGGAGATATTTTGTTGGAGGAGATATGTTATTGAAGGGGATATCTTGCTGGAGGAGATATGTTGCTGGAAGAGATATCAACGGAGATATCTAGCCAAGGGGGGTACCCAGCAAAAGGAGCAATCACTGAGTACAAGAAACCCAACCCCTGATGAGTATATCTACTTCGCTTTAGTTCTTTATTTATTTTTTGTTCCTCTTTTAATATAAATGTTCAACTACTTTGTTCTTTTATTGGTGTGTAACTTGATGACTACTAGAATATTGATATCCCCCTTCGAGAGGTTCCTTTCACATTTAACTAGTTAACACTTTTCATTTTTACAATAAAACCAGTTTCGGCTACCTTGGAACCACTTTGAAAAGAGGGAGGGGGCAGGCGTCAAACTACAGTAAATTGCACGCATGATCGAAATTCTTTAAAAGCTATTGAGAATAACAAAAATGTTTTTAATTTCTCTTATGTAATCAGATATATTTGCTTGATTTATACATGGGCATAAAATCAAAACTAGAGAGCTACGAGTTTAGAAAGTCGTAGCAGTAATGTCGCTTTAATTTTACCTATTCCTTTTGGCTAGTTTGCATTGGGGATGGGGGGGGGGATCTAAACTCTTTAAACCTNATAATAATAATAATAATAATAATACCGAATGATTTTGCTTTTCTGTTTGCAGCATCGAAGTAAACAAACTCTTGAACCAGTGAATAATTCATTTCTGACCTAGTTAAACAATATACAAATAGAAAGCTAAGAAGACTCTAAGCGTGAGTACAACCTTCCCTGAAAAGATGGCAATGCCCAATTCACAACTGTTTCTTAAAGAGTTATTTCGGGCCGGTCTAGTATGAGTATAATTTAATTTTGGAAAACGCTGATTACTTTCAATTGTGGAACCGGAATATTCTGGTTTTAATACTTTTTAAGTTAGAAAAATAATCGTTTTCTTACTTTAGGCTTGAAGTGGGTCTTTTATACCATATTGCCGATGAGTCCTGAGGCATACTGCCTGCTTGCCTTATTTTACATTTTACCAGACTAAAACAATATTTAGATCTACTTCCAGTCATTAATTTCAACATTTTTTAGGTGTTTTTGCGAAGAAATTTTGCACAGACGCCTACTTTTGGTACAGAAACACACACATGACTTTTGTAAAGATTCAAGAAAATTGCAGAACAATGTCGTCATAATTAAACTTGAAAGTTGAATAACGAGTAGTTTATTGTAAACTTTAATCATATTATATTTTTACATAAAAATTTGGCTTATAGTGTTGACTTAAATATACAAATAATATATTTGTTGTCGGATAGCAGCAAGATTCTTAATAATGAACAGATAGACAACGGGATAGCCCTCAAATCAAAACTGATAATGCAGAAAACTCTTTATTTCCTAAAAAAGTGAAATGGATAATAACATATAAATTATTACAATGATTTATGAATATTTATAATGGAAAGATTCTTAAAATCTATTTAAGGATCTGTAGGTTAAAACCGTCGGGGAGTCCTAAGACGTTTTTGTTTTTATATATTAAAACTTCTGAAAAGAATGACAATTAATTATTAACGAAGTCGCTAATTCTTTATATGAAAATATTCTTTGCTTAACTTTTGAAATGGGTTCACAATAATAAAAGTGTTTAGACTCCGTTACCGGAGAACAAAGAAAACGGGGCTAAAATTGTTCGGTTTGGTGTCTCCGAGAGGGGATTTTAAGTTATAGACGACATTACACGGATGGACAGAGAGATCCTATAGTTAATGGTTGACAATATTACATGTATACGAAACTTATTTTAAGTGAACAATTAACAATAAATAAATGTACTCTCCTAGATTGTACAAATACCGAGATTTTTATGTACTGTAAATACATACAGTACACACCTTCGGTTCGTTATTACTTACACACACTCTTTTGGCACAGACACACATACATGACGTTTCCGCCCCCTGCAAAAGATTGAATCATTCTAAAAACATAAAAACATAAACAGCAGATACATGCTTTACCAATTTTCTACCTTTGTTTTATGTGCAACGCTGAATTTTTTTCTTAAAAAAAAAAACAATTCTTCAAATTTCCTTTCTTTATGTCTAGCAATTTCAGATAAAATCGCATGTAAAGGTAGAGAACCAGCAAATGAATCAATTTATAAACGAAAATATAAAGATTTATTTAGATTTTTACTGAATTAAAGTGGTACCGTAAACCGTTGTGAATTGAGCTGCAATGCATTTGAAACAACACATCACGCTGAGTTCAAATGGTCAAAACTTAATCCATCTTGCAAGGTAGAGGTTCTGATTAATAGTCCAGCGAGTTTTGATTTTCAACCCCATTTTTATCCATTTACTGTAATCTTTGCAGGCGCATTTTATGTTGAGCTCTACATACAATTTTAATATGTAGAATATTATTTCTGTTGCGCTGTTTGTGACGGATTTAGAATGAGATATCAAAAGATGACTGAAAATATTCGGTTACAGACGAACTTAAGCTTTGTTCTTTAGCAACACTAAAGAAAAGTAAAAAACAATATTCCGTCTAGAATGTCGTCTTCCTCACAAAGAATTAAAACATTATCACTGTGTGCAAAATGTAAAATTTATTTGATGATAAAAGGTGCAATTTCATAATATTTAAAAGAATCAATTAAACTATTTTGAAATTTGTGTTTTCAGGCCAAAATACAGTAGCCCAGGCAACATTTAACACCCGGGCTGATTCTCACGTCACACAATTGGCGAAAAAATACCCTGGGTGGTTTTTAACGCCACACCGGTTTTACCTGAGTTTGTGTAAACAGCTGAATGTGTGAGGTTGACAGTACAGTCGACGTCCAGATCCTAATTTTCTTGTATTTTTAATAAAGTAGTAATCTCTGTTTGTTTGTTTGTATGACCGATCATAACTCATGAACCCCTTGGGCCTTGACCCATTTGCCTTAAATTGTCATTGGGAAACTCGGGAGAACCACGGGAGAATATTCCTAGCTTGGTTTTGAGATTCTAAGTTGAGTGGGTCCAATTTACGGAAAAATAGCTGAAATCCTAATCGACCAGCGTGGTTAAACGGCGGGAACGGCAAGCAACGCTGGGAACTTCAGCTAATTCACAGAAGCTTTAATGGTAATGTTACATCGTCTATATGCTATATCCCCTCTACTGAACATCTGACCAACTAACTTTTCGACCTTCTGCAATAGCCGGCTTACGAAAGCTATTTATTTTTATTATTTGAGGGTTTAGTTATGCTGAGCGCTGCGGCTAGGACAGGCTAGGGGGCGAGCGCTGTGGCTAGGACAGTACAAGGGCCGAGCGCTGTAGCTAGGACAGGACAAGGGCCGGGCGTTGTGGATAGGACAGGACAAAGGCCGAGCGCTGTAGCTAGGACAGGCAGGGGACCGAGGGAAATTATAAGAAAAGTCCGCCAGGTTTGTTTCTTCTTTCAACTCATTTCAACGTCCAAGTTTAGCAACTGAAAACTTACTTTAAAACTTGAAAATTATAATTCAAGTTTTGAATCTACGAAACTTGATGTTGTTGACCTTTAATATTTCATACTTTAAATTATTTGAGATCAAATAATCTAATTTAAAGATACATGAAAGGATACAGCAGCCTGCAAAGTTGGGGATTAGAAAGTTTCAGTTTGTGGCAATTGTTTAATTCCTGGACGTCCCCCTGAAAGGATCTTTTGTTGCGCTTAAAGTAATTAAAATATAAACCTTCCAATTAAATAGAATTGGTCACTTGACGCTTCCCTTAAAGTTATAAAAGTTTAATCTTTAAATTTTAATATTTGAGAAATCTATATTTGAAGAATTAGATTGAAATATTTGAACCTGTTGAAGATGAATATGTTGGATTTTTAGCTTCTTGAGGTTCTCCAAACAAAATCTAAATTTTAAGATATAAAATCATTAAAAATAAGCAGGATTCTTTAGACTATTATTGTCGTTTTATATCTTTAAAATTCTGCCAACTTTCATTCTTAATAAGTTACGTCGTTGTTGCATAAAAGCCATGCTTTTAAAGATATAACCCAGAACGGAATCTAATCAAAAAAGTGAAAGGGGATATTTAAATCTTTGCAAATAGGATTTGCACCGAAAAGGAAAAATTGTTTAGCGAAAATTTTCGCATTTTTTCGCATTACGTTCGCATCGCAAAAAATGCGACATTTTCGCGAAAAAAATAATGCGAAAAAGGCTAAAATTATGCGAAAAAACACGAAAATATCGCGAAAAAATGGGGTGGATTTAAAAGATTTGAACGTTCGTGGACGGACAGAAATTCAGAAAGATAGCTGGAGAAATCAAATTCTCTTCATCAAACATTTATTAAAGGAAGAGAAGAGAAAAATTTAATATGACATGATAAAATTTCACATATTGAGCAGAGCAGAGAATTCCACGAGTTTTTTTGCGCAAATTAATTATTTCTGTGAGTTCCTCCATTGCTTCTTATAAACAAGAAATGCGCAAGTAACTCATGCAGAGAAACTTTATAATTAGTAAACAGATCTGAAGATAGAAATAATAATCAGCTGAAATAATGTAATATAATGTGACCATAACCCTATAAAAATATAACTTCCCAAAATGTAACTTGTTTTACTGAAATATTTAGCATTTACTAAATATAAAAACCGAACCATTTTCATTAAAACTTCGACTAACAAATACCATAATTTTAGGTAGATATATCTTTTAGTATTATTTAGCTTGTAATAAATTGATAACAAAAAATGCAAAACGTAACAGAAAAAACAGAATTTTGATCATTTTGGTTCAAGATAATATTGCACTGATTTTTTTGAGCATTTAAGAAAAATTGCTTATATTTTACAGTGACCCGATGTGTTAATCTTTCAATTTAAACCTTTAAATGGCGGGTTTAAGACATGGAATGTGTACAAATAAAGTATGTAGTAAACACCTACTCCATAACAAGTTTCTCGAAACGTATCTATTCAGGTACAATCCGTCCGCTCTCAAACTCAACCAGGACTGAATTCCAGGCTCTATAAATGCCACACAGGGACACAAGAGTAGCTATAAAAATCCAGCTACTAATCTGCTCTACATGTCACACAGGGACACAAGCCTAGCTATCAAACAAGCTATATATCCATCATTATCATGTAATATTTGTTCTATTCGTATTTTGTTAACCTTCAGGATACCTGCAATAGCTCTGTCAATGTTACATAAATTGACACACATTTACATACATTTATAAATTTTAGACGATTAATAAAGGGACTGTTAAGGTATATTGAAAGGGGGTATAGGCTAAAGCCTAAAACTTTTAGGCGTTGATCACGACCAATAATAGTTCTATTTGATGTCTCTGTCTACTGCACGGTCATTGGTGGACATTCTGGTCAATTCGATAAGGACAAATCAAGATTAAAATCTATTATATTAATTAAAAATGAATAAGTATTATGTTCAAATTATAAAAGGAGCGTGCCTAAAAATTCTAGGCACCTCTGGGTTATCGTAATTTTCAGATTTGTTCCGTATTTCCTTTATATTATCTGTTTAAACTTTGATTTAAATACCAAATCACATACATATGAGTTTTTGTATAAATTTGACACGTAGTTTTATATCAATTTCTCGATACGGGTACATCAGATAGAACTCATATAGGTCACGATCAACAACAAAATTTTTAGGTTTCAGCCTTAACTCCCTTTCATTTTACGTTTACAGTCCCTTTAAGGGTGTATTATCATATTTAATGGAACTGTCTGCACCTGAAGAAGAATAAAAGTTTGAACCATTCTCTTCAACATATTTGGCTTTACTGAGATATCAAATATAAATATTCTCTATTTTATACACTGTCAACATTTTACAGGGAAGCTTAGAGCAGATACTTTATAAAGATATGTATCCGCATTTTCTCGGGGCACAAGGAACGTCAGATGAGTTAAATTCACATTTTAAACTCCGGTTCATTCAAGTTTTAAGTTTTAACTTGCTAGAAAAAGCTGTACAGAACAAATACAGCTATTTAAAGCAAAATGGAACAGTATACGCCTCGTAAATTTTCCCCTTCCAATAAAATTTAATTGGAGCTTACACAGAGTAAACGCTATGTGAGAGATAAAACAGGGAGATATTTGTCATCGATAAACGCCGAACTGTCAAAGGATTTAGCGACACTTTCCATGTGTTTAGACTCCTTTAACGGAAAATTGACATTTAGTTGAATTCCAGTTTCGAGGCAAAATAACCACATTTTTATGATTTTAGATGATTTTCTATTTGATAAAATCTGTATAATTTATAAAAAACTCATTTGTCTCTACTTTTGACGGACTTTTTTTAGTTATGCAAAAATGTTGCATAACTGTTCGTTTTTCTTATTTTGAACCTTAACAACCGATATAATTATCGAACCGCTTATTGTACGTGTACGTAAAAGTTATACCAGTGATGTCGACGCATAAAGTTTCTCCTTCTCCTTCTGTCTAGTTTGCTGTAACTTTAAAGTGATGGCCTCCCTTGATAGAGTGGCATGTCTAATTCACTATGGTACCCTTTAAAGCTTTTTCTGATAAATTATTTACATAGATATCTATGTTTTTGTTTATGCAAACAGATCATTTTCATTCGTGGTTTCTCTGCAATAGTTGGGTTAGCCTGAGCATTTCTTGGCGCCTAAGATCAAATTAAAGAAAAATAAAAGTGCCTAAAAGAGAACTGCAGCACTGGGAATGCGCAGATCTATACAAAAAAGGAACAGAAAATAGATGTATAGTTCAGCTAAAAAGAATAAACAACAGCCAAAGAATAAATTCACTCACTGCTCTTTTTAAATTTTTTGTTAAATTCTAAAACAAATGTTAAAAATTTCTTGCATTAGAAAGATTTAAATGAATTCTCTCCAGCTTGACCCGGGGCACAATTCGAACTAGTTGAACAAGCGGTATGTGGTTCAACTATTTTGTACTTTTTCTTAAATCTATCTGGTTCAAGATTCGCCAGTTTTAGTCAGAAGAAAGTATATTTAGGTATTGTATACTTTTCTTGGTACAGAATTTAATCATATTAAGTAATGAAAATTATTCAAAGAACCAAATGAAAATATTAATAATGACAGAGAATGAATATTTTTCTCAACATCGTACGGCTTTAGGGAGGGGGGGGGGGGTCATGCGGTCATAAGCCCAGCAATATCCTGTTCGAATCCAGGTCAGTTAGCAGAAACCTGCACGAACCCCGCGGAATTCTTTTCGAGCAAAGCAAAAGACTATTAAATTTTTTTTATTGATAATTGACTTAGAAAGAAAAAAATCTAAAAGGAGAAGGTGGGGGAATAGGTTACATACTACTCTTAGCTTCAAGATAAAAATCAATGCTTTGAAACTCTTTTTCAGCGTAAAATTTAGTCTTAAACTAGATTAACCAAATATGGAATGTTTGCAGTAATGAATACAAGGGAAATAATAATAAATAATAAAATAATAAAAATAACACTCGGCCCATATCTAACATTGTGTGTTAGAAATGGGCCAAATCTGCAAAATTATCTTATCCATGCGTATACATCTTTTAATTCAAGCCGAATTCATAATGTCAATTTTCAAGCATTTACGCACTTGCGTAACAAAACAAGATTTTTTGAAAAAGTAAAATATTAACAAAATAAAATAAAATAAAACTGAAAAATTAAAATTTTAATATAGATTTTACTAGTAACCCGGGAAATAGTTTTTATAAATGCGGGAAATTAAATTAATTATTTAACAAGAAAAATGGGGAAACTAATATTCTAGAATTGATTTAGCGGTTAATTTAATCTTCATAAGTAATTTTTACTTTTTGTGATTTATTTTGTAAGTTATGAAAGTGAGTTTTGTTCTGAATTTCGGAGTATGCTCAAAAACGGGAAAGTGGGTTTAGTCTCGAAAACGCGTCAATGATTCAAATTCAGGATATGTTCGAAAATGAGCCGGGATCCTAAAAACCCAGTCTTTTAATTTGTGCCCATTTATAACACTCGGTGTTAGAAATGGGCCAAGTGTTAGTTTGGAACTAATGTCTTCTGGAAGGCTGGAATAGGTGAAATGTAAAATCTTGCAAATATTCCGACTTGTTATGTATCATTCAAACCATACGCCATTCATCAAAATGTGTATGAAGTATATAATTATGATATTTATAAATAAATAAATCATAAATATCATAATTATATTCTTTCTAGACATTTTTGATGAATGGCGTAAGATTTGAATTATATAAATTATAAATTGCAATATACATTCTTATGCAAGATTTTAATTATCACCTATTTGCTGGGTTCAGGCCAGGAAGGGGGGGGGGAGGCAATCCGCATTTTACTCACAGACAGAGTTGCGGCAATTCTGGAGTGGGATCTAAAAGATAAAAAATAGGACTTCTCGTCTAAAGTAGATAAAGACTTCTCCTCTATTAAGAAAAGAAGAATTGAATGAAATGAAATACTTCTCGTCTTTTAGGCACTTGACTAGGAAACTGGCTTGAGAATGTATATAAGTTTATCTAATGAACCTTGGTGGTTAGTGGCTTTAACTTCAATGCATGTGTAGGATGGAGTATATGCGTGGGTTTCGAACCCTTCCAAGATACTATTCGGTGATCAGCAAAGTTTTCCATGAGGTTAGCTTGTCCGGTGTGTTGCTTGATGCGAACTCCCTAGGTGTGGAAACATGGAGCCATGTATGTTGATATATATATATCCTCCAGCAAAATGTCTACTTTTAAATGCATATTATAGAGAAATGCGGCCTTAATTAAAGATTTTTTAATAGACGTAATGGCATCTATGATAACCTTAACATACTAATCATATTTTTATGAGTTAACATTCTCGCTCATGGAGGCAATAGTCGTTAAACTTTTGTTAAAAACAGTGATTTATTGCGATTTTCTCCTAAACTGTAATATTTTGTACATGTCTGCTGATTTTGATCTTATCTAAAGATGTTTTTCAAGGTAAGGAAAAATTCAATCTTTAAATAAAGCAGTTTTACGTGCGATTCGGTTTCAAATTATCTAAACTTCAGATAGATAGATAGATAGATTTAGATAATTTTAAACCGAATTGCACGCAATACTGTGTTATTTCTGGTAAAAATTGAATTTCTTTATGCCTTTACACCTTTTCCTAGAAGATCAACGTCAGCAGGCATGTACAAAATATTATATTTTAGGAGAAAATCACAAGACATTTTGCCGAAGGATATAGGGGTGAAGCGTGGAAGCGCATTGCCGCAACTCTATGTTTGTGAGTAAATTGAGGGTTCTGCTAACTACCTGGGTTCAAACAGAAAATTGCTGGGCTCATGCCGCCCCTTCTTCACGGCTTAGCCTCACAGACCTATAATCTTCATATCCTTAGTACAAACTTTTAAAATGAAGGTTTAGGTTGAATGCCAAGGATATCCATTATGAGCTAAAAAGAGAATATCCAATGAAATTGGGTAACGAGGCTGTGGCCTAAGGTCAAAACTTTTTTGTGAAATAGATCTAACCTACAAGTACAATTGACGCTAGATCTCGATATCCACTGGGGTATCTTTTTAGGAAAAGGGCCTTGTGCAGACTTGATCTCAAAATTGTAGTTATCCTTGGAACCGAAAATAATATCTCGGTGATTTAGGATTTAACCAGTTCCTCTAGATGTAAAATCCACGGCAGCACTGCAGAGAAGTAGTTAAATCGGCGGTAGGTAGTTAAGCTACCTAGCTCAAATTTATTAAATTCGGTCCCTGAATGAATTAATTTAATCCGTAAAACTGCACAAGTTACAGTAAACTGTTAAATCCAGGTTATCAATCACACAATTTATTTTACTTTGATTTCTAACAGATCGTGGGCTCATGAACAGCTATTTACTCAGAAGTTTATTTCTCCGCTATTTTACTTCAAAGGAATGTATCAAAGGAATGTAATTTCAAGTGACCCTCTAGGCAAAGAGGCAAAGCATGATTCCCAATGATACCCTTAAAGCATTCGACTGTTACAAGTCCCTTGACAGCAGAACCGAATGTTTTATATTATATGCGAGTTTCAAAACTTTAAGAGAAAATTTTATTTTCTGCAAATTCTAGGAAGTGAATAAGAATTTTTTTTTACTTTTAACAGCTTGCAAAAAGTGTTCAACAATCAAAGGTTTTCGTAGATTTATGAGAATAAAGTCCACCAATCTTGATCAGCCAAACCAAGGGTTCTGTTGTGAATCGGGCATTGCCATCTTAGCATAGAGCAAGGTTGTATAATAAGGTTGGTTACTCTCGATGCGCTCCAATGTACAAAAATGTTGTCTCTTCAAGACAGAAAGATAAAAACCTCATGTGACGTCACTGACTATAGAAGCATCATTTGAGGTTTATACAGGGTGTCCCACGAAACATGACAATAGGAAGACGACTTGAAAGTCGTCTTTGGTATTTGAATTTATTTGTGACATTTAGTCTTCTATCTACTTTAACATGCATGATTCTTGAAACAATTATCACATAATTCTCCTAGCCCTGGCATTTCCAAAAAGTGGTCTGCGTTTTTTGTGCTTTCAATATTACCGGAGATATAAAGAGTTTGGTTCAGATTTCAATTTTGTTAAATAAAAGCAAAATTGTCGAAATCTGAACGAAATTCTTCATATCTCGGGCAATATTGAAAGCACAAAAAAGGCAGACCACATTTTGGAAATGGCAGGACAAGGGAAATTTTGTGATTATTATCTCTAGAAATTTACTTCTAAAATTAGGTTGACAAATAAGCGCAGCAAATTATATCAAAAATCAAGACGACATTCAAGTCGTCCTGCATACTGTCATGTTTCGTGGGACACCCTGTATCTATCTATCTTAGGAGACGACATTTTCGGTACATATTGGAGCGCATGGAGAGTAACGAGGGGAGGAAGGCTAGCCACAGCAATTTCTAGTCCGAGCCACATGCTGCTCATTTTCTCGTCCGAGCCACCTCAAAATCCTCGTCCTTCGAATATAATTACGGGTGCAGCAGAGATTTAAGTTTCACCTAAATGAAGTTTGACATCATTCTCATGGCTTTGAAGATTTCAACATGATGTAATCATTGCAATACTTAAGTCTATACATATTTTATGCCCTGACGTGGCCTGATTTTTAAAAGATAGCTTTATCTTCAAGATTTAGAAACTTAAAAACACATAATAAGCGAAGGACGATGATTTCGAGGTGGCTCGGACGAGAAAATTAGGAGAATGTGGATCGGACGAGAAATCGTTGTGGCTGGCCTTCCTCCCCTAGAGTAACCTTTATTAAACAACCTTGGCGTGGATTCAATTACAATTACACATCCGTTTGAGAGAGCTCTACTTCACTAAAGATGTGTTACTTTAGCTACTACCAAAAGCTTTGAATATTTAGACTAAGATGTTATAATTAATAATTTCAAAAAATGTTTGACCTTGTCTTTAAATTTTTATTTTATTTTTCTTCAGGATACAGGGTGGCCAAAACTTTTTTGAAAAAATCAGTACAAAAATCCGTACATTTTCAGAGGAAATCCGTACAATTTTCGAAAAAAAATCCGTACAATCCGTACATTTTTTTGAAAAAATCCGTACAATTTTCGAAAAAATCCGTACAATCAGTACAATTTTCGAAAAAAATCCCTGAAATCCGTACATTTAAGAAAAATAAAACCATTTTTGAAAATATTATTCAACACTGTCTCACCCCCCCCCATTCCCCCCCACCTCTTTCTCCC